TGTGGAAGGGTCACCTCTGGTGGGATCTCCTGTGGAAGGGTCACCTCTGGTGGCATCTCCTGTGGAAGGGTCACCTCTGGTGGCATCTCCTGTGGAAGGGTCACCTCTGAGAGGTGACCCTTCATCCCACCAGAGGTGACCCTTCAGCAGGAGATCCCACCAGAGGTGACCCTACCACAGGAGATCCCACCAGAGGTGACCCTTCCACAGGAGATCCCACCAGAGGTGACCCTTCCACAGGAGATCCCACCAGAGAAGGCCAGTCCACAGGAGATCCCACCAGAGGTGATTAGTCCACAGGAGATCCCACCTGAGGTGACCCTACCACAGGAGATCTCACCAGAGGTGACCTGTTCAGAGGAGATATCACCAGAGGTGACCTGTCCAGAGGAGATCCCACCAGAGGTGACCCTTCCACAGGAGATCCCACCAGAGGTGACCAGTCTACAGGAGATCCCACCAGAGGTGACCAGTCCACAGGAGATCCCACCAGAGGTGACCAGTCCACAGGAGATATCACCAGAGGTGACCTGTCAGGAAGTGATCCTACCAGAGGCAATCTGTCCAGGGGAGATCCCACCAGAGGAGATCAAGGCGATCTGTCCAGAGGAGATCCCACCAGAGGTGACCTGTCCAGATGAGATCCCACCAGAGGCAATCTGTCCAGAGGAGATCCTATCAGAGGTGACCTGTCCAGAGGAGATCCCACCATAGGTGACCCGTCCAGAGGAGATCCCACCAGAGGTGACCCATCCAGAGGAGATCCCACCAGAGGTGACCCGTCCAGAGGAGATCCCACCAGAGGTGACCTGTCCAGAGGAGGTCTGTTGAGGATCACTATGGAGGTCAGTGGTGGATCACTATGGAGGATCACTATGGAGGAGGTCTGTGGAGGATCACTATGGAGGATGTCTGTGGAGGATCACTATGGAGGAGGTCAGTGGAGGATCACTATGGAGGAGGTCTGTGGAGGATCACTATGGAGGAGGTCTGTAGAGGATCACTATGGAGTATCACTATGGAGGAGGTCTGTGGAGGATCATTATGGAGGAGGTCTGTGGAGGATCACTATGGAGGAGGTCTGTGGAGGATCACTATGGAGGATCACTATGGAGGAGGTCTATGGAGGATCACTATGGAGGAGGTCTGTTGAGGATCACTATTGAGGAGGTCAGTGGAGGATCACTATGGAGGATCACTATGGAGGAGGTCTATGGAGGATCACTATGGAGGAGGTCAGTGGAGGATCACTATGGAGGATCACTATGGAGGAGGTCTGTGGAGGATCACTATGGAGGAGGTCTGTGGAGGATCACTATGGAGGAGGTCTATGGAGGATCACTATGGAGGAAGTCTGTTGAGGATCAGTATGGAGGAGGTCAGTGGAGGATCACTATGGAGGAGGTCTGTGGAGGATCACTATGGAGGAGGTCTGTGGAGTATCACTATGGAGGATCACTATGGAGGATCACTATGGAGGAGGTCAGTGGAGGATCACTATGGAGGATCACTATGGAGGTCTGTGGAGTCTCACTATGGAGGAGGTCTGTTGAGGATCACTATGGAGGATCACTATGGAGGAGGTCTGTGGAGGATCACTATGGAGGAGGTCTGTGGAGGATCACTATGGAGGATCACAATGGAGGAGGTCTGTGGAGGATCACTATGGAGGAGGTCAGTGTAGGATCACTATGGAGGAGGTCTGTGGAGGATCACTATGGAGGATCACTATGGAGGAGGTCTGTGGAGGATCACTATGGAGGAGGTCTGTGGAGGATCACTATGGAGGATCACTATGGAGGAGGTCTGTGGAGGATCACTATGGAGGATGTCTGTGTAGGATCACTATGGAGGAGGTCAGTGGAGGATCACTATGGAGGAGGTCTGTGGAGGATCACTATGGAGGATCACTATGGAGGAGGTATGTGGAGGATCACTATGGAGGATCACTATGGAGTATCACTATGGAGGATCACTATG